TGTTGGTCAGCCTCCCAAAGTGCTGGGATTACAGACATGAGCCACCACGCCCCACCTTTGTTTTGCCTTTTGTTAGTGATTTCGCTGTGTAAAATGGCTCCTTTGGCTGTGTGCGGTGGCTCACGCCTTTAATTCCAGCTCTGGGGAGGCTGAGGCAGGAGGATCGCTTGAGCTCCGAGTTTGAGATCAGCCTGAGCAACATGGTGAGACCCCATCTCTACCAAGAAAAAAAAAAAAATTAACCAGGTGTGCTGGCACATGCTTAGAGTCACAGCTACTTGGGAGCTGAAGTGGGAGGATCGCTTGAGCCCAGGAGTTTGAAGCTGCTATGAGCTATGATTGCACCACTGCACTCCAGCCTGGGTGACTGAGTAAGACTTTGTCTCCAAAAATAAATAAATAAATAAATAAATAAATAAATAAATAAATAAAATGGTCCCCAACCACAGTGCTGAAGGGCTTTTTACTACTCCTAAGAGCAAGAACGCTATGATGGGGAAAATACATGCATTCATTCAGGCATGAGTTATAGTGCTGTTGGCTGTGAGTTCAATGTTAACGCATCAACAGTATACAGGCAATCAGTTGTCTTTAAACAGAGACACACATACAACAAGGTTATGTACTGATCAGTTAAGGTGCATGTTGTGAGCAGAGGCTCACAGGAACCTGGCCCTGTATTTCCCCTGGGAGCAATGGTTCAGTATTCGCTAATTCCACGCCTGCGTCAACTTTATAGAACAGAGGTCCCCTGTTTTTTTTTTTTTTTGGGACCAGGGGCCAAATTCATGGAAGACAACTTTTCCACAAACGGAGCTGTGGGGGATGATTTCAGGATGATCCAAGCATGCCCTTTATTTTTATTATTATTACACTGTACTGAAAAGTGAAATAATTACACGACTCACCATTCTGTAGAGTCAGTGGGAACCCTGAGCTTGTTTCCCTGCAACTACACAGTCCCATCTGGGTTTGACGGGAGACAGTGATAGATCATCAGGTTTTGGATTCTCATAAAGAGCTGCAACCCAGATCCCTTGCATGCACAGTGCACAATAGGGTTGCGCTCCTATGAGAATTGTATGCAGCTGCTGATGTGACAGGAGGCGGAGCTCAGGTGGTAATACGAGTGATGGGGAGCAGCTGTAAATACAGATGAAGCTTTGGCTTGCTTGCCTGCCGCTCACTGCCTGCTGTGTGGTCTGGTTCCCAACAGGTCACAGATTGGTACCAGTCTGTGACCCAGGGTTTGGGACCCCTGCCATAGAACATAACTACTGTGAATGAGGAGAATCAGCTGTAATTGGCTTGGGGTTGTGGAGCTGCCCCAGGAAGGGTTTCAGTGTAGTCAGAGTGAGCTGAGGTGGTGCCTTGCCAAGGCATCCTCAGTCAGCTTTGGGCTGACTTGGCTTGGAAAGATGACCCCCATCTCTACCCTTTCATTTTGTGTTGCAGGCTCTTTTCTCATTTCTGGAGGGTTTGATAGGACTGTGGCTATTTGGGACGTAGCAGAAGGCTACCGGAAGCTCTCCTTGAAGGTACACGTGGCCAGCATGAGATGGAGGATCTGAGTTTCCCTCCTGAGTCCTTCCCATGCTCAGTGCTGGGTGCTAGGGACACAGCTGTGGGTGACACAGACCTAGATGCCTCCCGTGGGCTGATGAAGGATAGATAAGAAGCCAGCAGACACACCACTGGCTTTGAGGAGTGAAATGGAGAAACCACAACAGGGTGACATGATGGGTACAGACGTGGGGGACCCATCCACATTGTATGGGCAGGGAGAGCTTCCTGGAGAAGGAAGTGTTTGAGCTGAGAAATGGGTGGAAAGAAAGGACTGCATAGGTGGGGATCTTGAAGAAGAAGAGGATTCCAGGCAGATGGAACAGCCAATGTAAAAACCCCGAGGTGGGAGTGTCCAAGAACAGCAGAAGTTACTGTGCAGGGCCAGGTGCGGTGGCTCACGCCTGTAATCCCAGTACTTTGGGAGGCTGAGGTGGGCGGATCACCTGAGGTCAGGAGTTTGAGACCAGCCTGGCCAACATGGTGAAACCGCATCTCTACTAAAAATCAGCTGGGCATGGTGGTGCGCACCTGTAGTCTCAGCTACTTGGGAGGCTGAGGTGGGAAGATTGCTTGAACCTGGGAGGCGGAGGTTGCAATGCGCTGAGATCGTGCCACTGCACTCCAGCCTAGGCGACAGAGTGAGACTCCACCTCTAACAAAACAAGTCAAAACAAAACAAAAAACCAGAAATTACTGTGCAGAGGGATGGCATGAAAGGCGTAATGAGGCATGAAAGCTTGGGGTTCCGAAATGGGGGTGTCAACTGAATGTTCTTGGCTGCAAGTGAGAGGAGCCCCAACTCAGAGCGGCTCTGTGACAAGGGGATGTGTTATCCAACATGGCAAGAACCCAGGATTGCCTCATGCTGTGACCCTGTTCCCAAGGGGCCCTGCACCCCAGGATTTCTGCATACTCCCTGGTTTCACGGTCTCACTGTCACCTTTGGCTGTGAATGCTTGGTCTTTCTGTGCCCACGGACGCAAAGGGACGTGTGTCCTTGAGCAGCCCATGTTCAGGTCCCTGGGGCTGGTCTGTCTGAGCTGTCTTCTCCTAGGACTTGGGGAGGCAAAATGAGTTTGCTCACAGCAAATAAACAGCTTGAAATGGAATGTTAAACCTCTCTGTGCTTAAAGTCCCTCTGTCGTCCGGGTACAGTGGCTCATGCCTAGAATCCCACAGCACTTTGGGAGGCTGAGGCTGGAGGATCACTGGAGGTCAGGAGTTCGAGACCAGCCTGGCCAACATGGTGAAACCCCGTCTCTACTAAAAATACAAAAATTAGCCAGGCATGGTGACAGGTGCCTGTAATCCCAGCTGCCTGTAATCCCAGCTACTCGGGAGGCTGAGGCAGGATAATCGCTTGAACCTGGGAGGTGGAGGTTGTGGTGAGCCAAGATCGTGCCATTGCACTCCAGCCTGGGCAACAAGAGGGAAACTCCATCTAAAAAAAAAAAAAAAAAAAAAAAAATCACTAGAGGAGCCTGGGAGGTAGAGGTTGCAGTGAGCTGAGATTGTGCCACTGCACTCCAGCCTGGGTAACGGAGCTGGTTGTTCTATTTTGTCTCCTCTCTCTCTGTTCTCCCATCCTCAAATTCCTATCCTTTTATTATACTAAGCAGTTTAATCTTTTCCTCTGACCACACCATGGTCTCACCTTCCACCTCTTTCCACATGGGGAAGGCCAAAGAAGGACAGAGATGCTGGCGTAGAGCCAGACATCATTCAGTGTCTGAGGCGGCAATGGCATCTATCTGCTCTGAGTTCCTTTTTACCCAAAGAAAACATCCCACTCCTGCCTCTGCTTAAGCCACAGTGGATCAAGTCTGCAGTTATTGGAAGCCAAAAGCCCCTTCATTTACAGTGCCTCCGGAGGGGTATTTCCTAGAACAATGAATGTAAATGAAAATCTGAGACCAGCTGGGAATATAGTATTTCTCCCCTCATCCTGCTAAATACCCGAGTACTATTTTTTAAAAACATACACAGTGGCACACACATTTGTAGTCCCAGCTACTCGGGAGGTTGAGGCAGCAGAATCACTTGAGCCCAGGAGGTTGAGGCTGCAGTGAGCTATGACTGAGCTGCTACACTCCAGCCTGGGGAACAGGGTGAGGCCCTGTCTCAAAATAAAAATAACTAAACACATAAACAAAGAATGGGCTGGGTGCGGTGGCTCATGCCTGTAATCCCAGCACTTTGGGAGGCTGAGGCAGGCGGATCACTTGAGGTCAAGAGTTCGAGACCAGCCTGGCTAACATGGTGAAACCTTGTCTCTACTAAAAATACAAAAATACAAAAAATGGGCACGGTGGTGGGCACCTATAATCCCAGCTACTTGAGAGGCTGAGGGTGGAGAATCACTTGAACCCAGGAGGTGGAAGCTGCAGTGAGCGGAGATTCTACCATTGTACTCCAGCCTGGGCAATAAGAGCAAAACTCTGTCTCAAAAAACAAACAAACAGAAACAACAACAGACCTCAGTGCCCACCCTCCTTCCAGCCCTGTCCCCACCTCCACCTGCCCGTCCCCTATCCCAATCCACTCCCACCCCACCCATTAAAAAAAAAAAAAGTGCATATTTCACGTCTTTACACTTTGTATTCTACCCTAAATGTTGTTGACGAAACCAAGGAAGTACAATGAGCTGTTCTGCTCTTTCCTTCTTTTTTTAGACGGAGTCTCACTGTACCCAGGCTGGAGTGCAGTGGCCTGATCTCAGCTCACTGCAACCTCTGCCTCCCGGGTTCAAGTGATTCTCCTGCCTCGGCCTCCCGAGTAGCTGGGACTACAGGTGCGCACCACCACAACTGGCTAATTTTTGTATTTTTAGTAGAGACAGGGTTTTACTATGTTGGCCACGCTGGTCTTGAACTTCAGACCTCGTGATCCACTCGCCTTGGCATCCCAAAGCGCTGGGATTACAGGCGTCAGCCACCACACCTGCACCACCCCTTTTTTTTTTTTTTTTTTTTTTTGAGAGGGGGTTTGTTTTTTTTCCCAGGCTGGAGGGCAATGGCGCGATCTCGGCTCACCGCAACCTCCCCCTCCTGGGTTCAGGCAATTCTCCTGCCTCAGCCTCCCGAGTAGCTGGGATTACAGGCACGCGCCACCATGCCCAGCTAATTTTTTGTAATTTTAGTAGAGACGGGGTTTCATCATGTTGACCAGGATGGTCTCGATCTCTTGACCTTGTGATCCACCCGCCTCAGCCTCCCAAAGTGCTGGGATTACAGGCGTGAGCCACTGCGCCCGGCCTCCCTTTTTTTTTTTTTTTGAGATGGTTTCACTCTGTCGCCTAGGCTGGAGTGCAGTAGCATGACTATGACTCACTGCAGTCTCAACCTCCCCGGGCTCAGGTGATTCTCCCACATTAGCCTCCTGCGTAGTTGGGATTACAGGTGCATGACACCATGCCCAGCTAATATTTTGTATTCTTAGTAGAGACGGGGTTTCACTGTGTTGCCCAGGCTGTTCTCAAACTCCCAGACTCAAGGAATCCGTCCACCTCAACCCTGCAGAGTGTTGAGGTTACAGCGTGAGCCACTGTGCTCAGCCAGCTACTCTTAAATGTAAACAACGCTGGACTCTTGACTTGTTGTTGTTTTCTAAGATAGGGGATCTCACTCTGTTGCCCAGGCTGGAGTGCAGTGGCATGATCATGGCTCCCTGCAACTTCCACCTCCTGGGCTCAAGTGATCCTCCCACCTCGGCATCCCAAAGGGCAGGTTACGTGTGAGCCACCACACGCAGATTGTTTCTGTTGTCCTTTCAAAATGATTTTTCTCTATGTTCTCATAAAAATCTGTTATTTCTTCAGGGCCATAATGACTGGGTGACAGATGTTGCCGTCAGCAACAACAAGAAATGGATCCTGTCTGCTTCCAAGGTAAAAGTGGCCAAGCTGTGAGTGACTTACCATATCTATCATATTCATCAGAATTGGTGATAGCGGGAGAGTTACTGGCAAGTGTAAACGTCCCAGGTGGGTTCGGTGAGGTGTCTGTACCTGGCTGGGCCATCGCGTTCACGGAGCTGCCTGGGAATGTACATCAAAGGATACCATCAAGAGAGTAAAAAAGGCCGGGCGCGGTGGCTCAAGCCTGTAATCCCAGCACTTTGGGAGGCCGAGGCGGGTGGATCACGAGGTCAAGAGATCGAGACCATCCTGGTCAACATGGTGAAACCCCGTCTCTACTAAAAATACAAAAACATTAGCTGGGCATGGTGGCGCGTGCCTGTAATCCCAGCTACTCAGGAGGCTGAGGCAGGAGAATTGCCTGAACCCAGGGAGGCGGAGGTTGCGGTGAGCCGAGATCACGCCATTGCACTCCAGCCTGGGTAACAAGAGTGAAAATCCGTCTATAGAAAAAAAGAAAAAAAAAAAAGAGAGTAAAAAGACAACTTCGAGAATGGGAGAAAATAGTTGCACAGCAAATATCGGGTAAGAGATTAATACGTAAAATACATAAAGAACTTCGAAAACTTAACAACAAAATACAACCCAATTCAAGAATGGGCAAAAGACTCGGACATTTCTCCGAAGAAGATATACCAATGTCCAAGAAGCATATGACAAGACGCTCAATGTCATTGTCATTAGGGAAACGCAAACAAAAAGCACAGTGAGATACCACTTCACATCTACTAGGAGAGCTATAATAAAAAACAACTCAGAAGATAATGAATGCTGGCAAAGGACATGGAGCAATTGGATCCCTTGTGCGTGACTGATGAGAAGGTAAAACAGTGCAGCTGCTGTGGGAAATGGTTTGGCAGTTTCACAAAAGCAACGGAGCTACCATATGATCCGGCAACTCCACTTTGGGTTTATATTCAACAGAGCTGAAGGCAGGGGCTTACTGATACTTATATGCCAGTGTTCATAGTAGCATTATTTATGACAGCTAAAAGGTGGAAGTGACCCACGTGTTGGATGAATGGATACATAAAGTGTGGTCTATCCATACAAGGAAATTCAGCCATAAAAAGGGGGAAATTCTGACATGCTACATCATGGACGAATCTTGATGACATGCTAAGTGAAATAAGGCAGTCACAAAAGGAAAAATACCATAGTAATTCCACTTAGATGAGGTATCCAGCATAGCCAAATTAGGAGAATGTAGAATGGTGGTTGCCAGAGGTTGGAGGGTGGGGAGAAAGTTATTATTTAATTGGTAATGGAGTTTTTGTTGGGGATGGTGAAAAAGTTTCGGGTATAGAGAGTGGTTATGCGGACAGAAGATTGTGAAGGTATTGAATGTGACTTACTTGTACACTTACAAATAGTTAAAATGGGCTGGGCGTGGTGGCTCATGCCTGTAATCCCAGCACTTTGGGAGGTTGAGGTGGGGGGATCACAAGGTCAGGAGTTTCAGACTAGCCTGGACAAGATGGTGAAACCCCATCTCTATTAAAAATACAAAAATTAGCTGGGTGTGGTGGTGTGCCTGTAGTCCCAGATACCCGGGAGGCTGAGGCTGGGGAATCGCTCGAACCCAGGAGGTGGAGGTTGCAGGGAGCCGACACCGTCCCATTGCGTTCCGGCCCGGGCAACAGAGTGAGACTCCATCTCAAAAAAAAAAAAGCCAGTTAAAATGGTATTGTATTGTATATATTTTACCTCAATAAAAAAACCCAACAATGACATGTTTCTTCTGTCCCTCAATACAGTGGGATATTTTTGCTTTTCTGTTTCCATGGCAAATAATACTTCTCTGAACTGCCTGCAGCCCCTAGGACATCCTTTTAGTTTCTGTAGTGGTAAAACTGAACACTGTCAAATGTAAAATTCGTTCCAACTTACATTCTGTTCTTATCAAGCCCACATTATACTGATTCCTGGTGTCAACCCAGTGTGATAACTTCAAGCTAAATATCCCATCAGGAAAAGCATTTGAGCATGGATACTTAAGATTTTACTTACTGGCTGGGTGTGGTGGCTCACACTTGTAATCCCAGCACTTTGGGAGCCCGAGGCAGGCCGACTGCTTGAGGTCAGGAGTTCGAGACCAGTCTGGCCAACATGGTGAAACCCCATCTCTACTAAAAATACACAAATTAGCCAGGCTTGGTGGCACATGACTATAGTCCCAGCTACTTGGGAGGCTGAGGCAGGAGAATCGCTTGACTTGGGAGGTGGAAGTTGCAGTGAGCTGAGATCAAGCCATGGCATTCCAGCCTGGGCAAGAGAGACTCCATCTGAAAAAAAAAAAAAAAAAAAAAAAAAACAGATTTTACTTACTGGCAAAAACAGGTTCTTTGATTTGCAGGTTTTATTTCCCAGTATTCCAAAAATGTCCAAATGTACTAAATCTTCAAGCTTATTTTAAAAGACTAGGTATTTGTCAGGTTGGGCATGGTGGCTCACGCCTGTAATCCCAGCACTTTGGGAGGCCGAGGTGGGTGGATCACCTGAGCTCAGGAGTTCAAGACCGGCCTGACCAACATGGAGAAACCCCATCTTTACTAAAAATACAAAATTATCTGGGCGTGGTGGCACATGCCTGTAGTCCCAGCTACTCAGGAGGTTGAGACAGGAGAATGGCTTGAACCCAGGAGGCAGAGGTTACAGTGAGCCAAGATCATGCCATTGCACTCCAGCCTGGGCAACAAGGATGAAACTCCATCTCAAAAAAAAAAAAAGTAAAAGACTAGGTATTTGTTAATGAAGTCACAATCTCGGCTCACTGCAACCTCCGCCCTCCAGGTTCAAACAATTCTCCTGCCTCAGCCTCCCGAGTAGCTGGGATTACAGGCACACGCCACCACACCTGGCTAATTTTTGCATTTTTAGTAGAAACAGGGTTTTGCCATGATGGCCAGGCTGGTCTCAAACTCCTGACCTCAGGTGATCTGCCTGCTTTGACCTCTCAAATTGATGGGATTATAGGTATGAGCCACCATGCCTAGCCTCAATTTTTTTTTTATTCTATAGGTAAGAGGTCTCACTATATTGCCCAGGCTGGTCTTGAATTCCTGGGCTCAAGCCATCCTCCTGCATATGCCTCTCAAAATGCTGGATTACAGGTGTGAGCCACCATGCCCAGCTTGAAACTAACTTTTGAATGACAATATCTAAGAGCTGGGAAGACATCTTTTGTTACCATGATTTGGCCAGCCACTTGCTATACTGTAGGAAGTATGCTTATTGGTAAGATCTGACAGCTCTACACAGTGTGAAGCCAACACATCTGTTACCAACGTGTGCCCTTTGTTCTCCCACAGGACATTTAATTGCAACTGCTGAATCAAGAAATGTAACATCCTCAGTGTATCCATTTTTTTAATTGCTGCTATATTAAGTTACAGGACTATACTGTTTAAACATTAAACAACACAAATTTACTATCTTACAGTTCTGTAAGACAGAAGTCTGACAAGTTCTCATTGGGTTAAAATCTAGGTGTCAACAAGAATGCATTCCTTTCGGGAAGTGTTATTAACTAAAGTTAACTAAAGTCCATGGTTTATATCGTTTCATGCTTTGTGTTATATAGGTCTATGGGTTTTGCCAAATGTGTATCATATATCTACCAATAGAGTGTCATACAGAAGAGTTCTTTTTTGTTTTTTGTTTTTAGATAGTGTCTCGCTTTGTTGCCTAGGCTGGAGTGCAGTGGCACGATCTTAGCTCACTGCAACCTTCGCCTCCTGGGTTCAAGCCATTCTCCTGCCTCAGCCTCCCAACTAGTTGGGACTACAGGCGCATGCTACCACACTTGACTAATTTTTGTATTTTTAGTAGAGATGGGGTTTCACCATATTGGTGAGGCTCGTCTCGAATTCCTGACCTCACCTTCTTCTGCTTCTCAAAGTGCTGGGATTATAGGCATGAGCCACCGTGCCCAGCCATATAGAATAATTTTACTGTTCATCCCTCCTCCTCTTCCCCATCATCCTGGGCAACCACTGATCTATTTACTTTCTTTACTTTTGCCTTTTCCAGAATGTCAAGTGGTTGGAATTATACTCTATGGCCTCTTCAGGCTGGCTTCTTTGGCTTAACAATGTGCATTGAAGTTTCCTCTTTCTGTTGCCTTGACAGCCCAAGTCTTTTGACTGTTGAATGATATTCCTTTGTATGGATGTACCACAGCCTGTTTTATGACTACTGGTTTCCTATTTGTTTTAGGATAGGACCATGAGACTGTGGAATATTGAAGAAGTTGACCAAATTCCTTTGGTAATCAAGTATAAAAAGGCCATGGGCTTAAAGTTGAAACAGGTTGGTATTGGGTAAAATGAAGCCCAGTGAAAGCTTTCATTAATTCCTTCTATAATTTGTCATTTGAACAAACTTTGGGCACCTAGGGATGCAACCGTGAACAGACCGACGTTTTTGCCTCAGCAGAGCTTAAATTCTAAAAGAGGAAACAAAGAGGAAAGACACAAGAAAAATGTGTAGTAAGTCGCATGGTGTTAAGTAATTGACAGAAAAATACACAGGAAAAGGGAATAGGAGTGCTGGAGGTTGCAAGATTTTAAAAGGTAGTCAGGATAGGCCTCATTGAGGTGGCCGCTATTTCAATTTGAAGGTGGTGAGGGGGTGAGCAGTGCAGATATTTAGAGAACTTCCAGCTGGGTGCGGTGGCTCTCGCCTGTAATCCCAGCACTTGGAGGCCGAGGCGGGCAGATCACCTGAGGAGGGAGTTCGAGACTAGCCCAGCCAACATGGAGAAACCTCATCTCTACTAAAGATACTAAATTAGCCAGGCACGGTGGCACATGCCTGTAATCCTAGCTACTTGGGAGGCTGAGGCAGGAGAGTCACTTGAACCCGGGAGGTAGAGGTTGTGGTGAGCCAAGATTTCGCCATTGCACGCCAGCCTGGGCAACAAGAGCAAAACTAAGTCTCAAAAAGAAAAAAAAAAAAAGAGATTCCAGAGAAGGGAGCCCTTGCCTTGCCTTGCTCAACATAGCTGGATCAGGTGGGAGAATTCTAATCATGTGCCTGGAACCCCTCTGACGAGCACCTCCTTTCTGCTTTTAAAATATCCCATGTCAGTGCGAAAGATGTGACAGGCCTTTCTCCATCTTTGAGAGTGACACCTCTTCTGAAATATTCACCCAATGCGTGTTCTGCCGGATAGATACAAGGGGCTTGCCAGTGGAGACTTCATCATTATCCTCATTGGAAAGCGAGAACTCACCGTTGCTGAGGGGAAGCAAGGATGACTGACAGCCACAGGACCCTTTGAGTGACTTGAGCACAGGCTACCTAGCATGTAGGTTTCAGGGCTCTGCAGGGACTTTCTCTTAGGCCCCTCCCAGGCTCAGTGGTCCTGTCAGACTGGGGCAGGACGCAAGCCTTGGCTGGGCTCTCAGCACAGTGCCACCTCCTCAGCTCTCAGCTGGGGAAGTGAACATTTATTTTCTGTTTTCACACAAAATAAATCTAATTCCTTTGGAAAACAAGTGTGCATGTGCATTTGAAAAGCAGTCTTGCTATTTCTAAGCTTTATGTCTTGGTGCTCATCCTGTTTGATTTTTGGAACACATATTTGACTCACATTATGGAGTCTGGAGCTGTCCTGTAAGGTGACCCATGGGGGCTGGCACCAGTAGTTCTGGAGAAAGGGTTTGTCAAATAAATATGACAAGGCACGGGGACCCCTCTGTGGACGTGATGGCAAGATACTGTGGGTGCCTCCCTGGCTAGTGCTCCCAGAGAGCCACCTGCCTGGGGCAGAGGATGATTTGGTTAGCCAAGGGGGTGGCGGTGGCACCGCCATCACAGGCTGTCTCATGCTCTCCTAGACTTCTCCATTTCCAGAATTTCCAGGCCTATGCACAGCCCTCTTCCTGCTGCCACGGCATATTGTACAGCATGCATCAGTCCAGAAAGAGTCAAGTTTTCCGTTAATAAGACGGGCTCCCTTTTCCACTTGGTATGCTTCACATGATTCTCATCAAATATCATTAATAGGCCCCTTGGTCCATTTAAAAAGCTTAACTGAGCCTGGGCGCAGAGGCTCCTGTCTGTAATTCCAGCACTTTGGAAGACAGACAAATGAATAGCTTGAGGCCAGAAGTTTGAGACTAGCTTGGGAAACACAGCAAGACCTCTCCACAAAAAACAAAAATACTAGCCAGGTGTGTGGTGCACCTGTAGTCCCAGCTGTTTGGGAGGCCAAGGCAGGAGGATCGCTTGAGCTCCAGGAGTTCGAGGCAGCCAGTGAGCTATATGATTGTGCCACTGCACTCCAGCATGGGTAGCAGAGAAAAAAACCCAGCAAGACTGATTTATATATTATCACATAATGTCTAGTGTCAATTGTCTGGCATCCAACAATTCTGTGCATAAGCACCATGGCCTGGCAATTGTCATGTGGGTGGGTCCCATGTCCGATGCCATCCTTGTCAGTCACAATGGGGTGACTGGTCAGATTCAAGTTGTCTGTTCAATGCTTATCCATTCATTTACATGAATGATGTATGAATGTGGCAAAACTCCACTTATGCCCTCCCAGCCACTGGAGTCTCCTTGCAGAGAGGTCCCATCGCTAGTGGCCTCCCTCCTCCCAGTTGAATTTGAGGCCTTAGCACACATGAACAGGCATAGATGATGCACCCCCATGGCTGTGGAGGGCGGCTAGACGGCAGGTGTCAACACGGCCCCCACGGATGCGTTGACCCGTCAGTGAACCACCAATATGAATATGACGAGGTGTGGGCAAGACACTGGGTGCCTCCCTGGCTAATGCTCCCAGATGGCCACCTGCCTAGAGCAGAAGATGGCTTGGTTAGGTGCCAAGAGGGTGGCGGTGGCATTTCCATCACAGGGTGTCTCACGCTGTCCCTCTAGACTTCTCAATGTCCAGAACGCCCATGCCTATGCGCAGCCCTCTTCCGGCTGCCACGGCATAGTGCACAGCGTTGCATCAAGCCAGAAAGAGGCTCAGAGAGCAGCTTAGGTTCCTGCTGGACACCATGCTGGGTGAACCTTTCCGTGCATGCGGGAGGGATGGTGGGTGGATGGGTTGGCAGTGTTCGGCTGCATCGTTGCCCACAGGCCGTCTGGAAAGTGCGGGGACCAGTGGCTGGTGTAACTGCGTGAGGACACCCAGAAGGGGCAAGTGAGAAACCAGGGCGGAGAGGGCCCGGCCTGCTCTGGCAGCAGAAACTCCTTCATATTAGGTGTCGGTGCCCCACGCCAGCAGCCTGGGAACCCCGAAACCCGTGACCCTTCCTCGGAGCCTTCCTGACCCCTCGACTTTTCCCCAGCTCAGGATCCGCGGGAGAAGTGACTCAACTGAAGTTACGGCCCCGGGAGCTGGCAGGGCCCCCCGGTCTTCCCAGGCTAATGTCGCGGGGCGGCACGGTCCGAGACTTACCCGGGTCACCGTCGGACAGAGGCGGGTGTGCCCGCCGCGCTGGCAGGGCCAGAGGTTCTCTGGGGCGGGTAGGGGCTCGGCCGCACTACCCTGAGGTCCAATCCTTGCGCGAGTCTTCCCCAAAGGCGGGGCGTCCTGGCTCCACGTTAGAGGAGACATTATTATAGCCGTGAAGCCTCGGCTTCTCAGACTCGGCTTCCTCAGTGTAGCCCGAGCTTCCGGTCTCGGTCTCCGCCGCTTGTATGAATCGGAAGCTACACTACGCGTGCGCTGTAGCAGGTCAAATCTGTGCGCATGCGCACGACTCAAGAGGCTAATAGTAATAAGGAATCATCGGCGAAGGCGTTCGTGCAGGCGGCGCCGTGGCTTAGTTGGTTAAAGCGCCTGTCTAGTAAACAGGAGATCCTGGGTTCGAATCCCAGCGGTGCCTCAACCGAGCGTCCAAGCTCTTTCCACTTTTGCTCCTGCACTTTTGTCTCGGAGCCTTAGCCCGGTTTCCCCGGATTAGGCGGCTGTGAAGGGGAGCCTGAGAGGCCGGCGAATCCGGGCCCCCAACTGGGCGTGGCTTCGGTCAAGGGGGCGGGGACAGGCTGGTCTCAGGCTCCACCTTCTCGAGTCTTGAGCGCTGAGGGGCGTGGGCGGCGCGGGGACCCAGGAGACAGCGGTTGCCATGGTGCTGCCTGGCGGTGGGAAGCGCGGGGGCGGGGAAGCAGCAGTGCAAGTCCAGCGCGGAGCCGGTGTTCGCCCCCAGGCTGCTTCCGCAGGGCGGGCGGTGGATGAGCTCTCCTGGGCCGGTTTCTGTGGCGTGGGTTTCTCTCGCTAGTCTTCCTGGCTCCAAGCGGCCGCTCTGGGGAGCCCGTGTGGGTGCCGATCCTCGACGGTCAATGGGCTTAGCTGAGTCTTGCAAAGTACTGCAAATTGCCCGTCTTTCTGCAGCCGCGCAGTGGATGCGGCCGTTTCACAAATGCGAGGCCAAGGCGGCCGCAAGAGGAGGGGTGTGGGACTGAGTTCGGTCGGCGTGACCGTCAGTCTGATGACTGCGTGGAAACTCCAGGCCAGGGAAAGATCGCAGGGGACTCTGCGGGCTGAAGCCTGCTGCCCGAGCTGGGGTTGTACCCATATTTGCATGTGGAGACCTATTCCAAAGCAAGTGCATCCGAGGCTTTGGGGGTGGTGGGGTAGGGAGGGGTGAGGCATTGCAGTTTTTACAAAAATTCTCCAGGGATTCACCTGTCAAACCCAACAGGATAGTCCCAGTGGAGAAATTGCAGTCATGGGATGAGGCTGTGTTCCAAATAGTAAAATTCACCTCCCCAGAAGCAGTTCTTCTTTCTGCCTCTTCTATGAGTCTGGGTTTATTGTTTCTCTTTGTTTGTTTCTCTCGTTTTCCAGTCAATTATTGCGCCTTTGCAGCTTCGTTGCTTTTGATTGACATTGCCCGGGAAAACTTGGAAGGAGACTGTGAGGCTTTGCAGTGCTGATAGGAGCACTCACCTGGATCCAATCAGGGATGAATTTATTGGAAACTGGGCTTGCGTCATTGTGGGACTGGTTTATTTCTGGTTCATACTTAGCCACTGTAATCCAGCCTGGACAACAGAGCGAGACTCCATCTCAAAAAAAAAAAAAAAAAAAAAAAAAAAGAAGTTCCTTATTGGATACAGGATTTGAAATCTTTTCTCCCTTTCTTTTTCTTTTTGCTATTTATTTATTGAGACTGAGTCTCCCTCTGTCCCCCAGGCTGGAGTGCAATGGCATGATCTCGGCTCACTGCAACCTCAGCCTCCCGGGTTCAAGCGATTCTTTTGCCTCAGCCTCCCAAGTAGCTGAGACTACAGGCGCATGCCACCATGCTAATTTTTGTATTTTTAGTAGAGATGAGGTTTCACCATGTTGGCCAGGCTAGTCTTGAACTCCTGAGCTCAAGTGATCTGCCTGCCTGACTGCCTAAAGTGCAGGGATTACAGGTGTGAGCCGCCACACCCAGTCTAATTTTTTTTTAAAAGAGAAAGTAAAAAAGTAAACCATAGGGCCAGGTGAGGTGGCTCACATCTGTAATCCCAGCACTTTGGGAGGCCAAGGTGGGCAAACCACGAGGTCAGGAGTTTGAGACCAGCCTGACCAACATGGTGAAACCCCGTCTCTACTAAAAATACAAAAATTAGCCGGGCGCGCCTGTAATCCCAGTTATTTAGGAGCCTGACCGAGGCAAGAGAATTGCTTGAACCGGGGAGGCAGAGGTTGCAGTGAGCTGAGATTTTGCCATTGCACTCTAGCCTGGGCGACAGAGTGAGACTCCATCTCAAGAAAAAAAAATAAAAAAAACAAAAAAAAACCATTCCACTATTCTATCAAGCCAGCTGTTTCAGATTGGTGGGGAACGTGACCACACCAGTAAATTCCATAAGCATTGCCGCACTTCATTTGTGGGAAACTGAATTCCTTTTTTTTTTTTGTAATGAAGTCTTATTCCGTAGTCCAGGCTGAAGTGCAGTGGTGCGATCTTGGCTCACTGCAACCTCCGCCTCCCAGTTTCAGGAGACTCTCCTGCCTCAGCCTCCTGAGTAGCTGGGACCACAGGCGAGTGCCACCATGCCAGGCTAACCTTTGTATTTTTAGTAGAGACGGGGTTTCACCATGTTGGCCAGGCTGGTCTGGAACTCCTGAACTCAAGTGATCCACCCACGTCAATCTCCCAAAGTGCTGGGATTACAGCGTGAGCTACTGTGCCCTACCTACTTTATTTTCTTTTTCAAATATTTAATTCACATGCCATAATAATCCTCTCCCGAGGCTTTTAGAGACAGAGTCTTACTCTGTCGCTCAGGCCTCGAACTCCTGGGCTCAGGCTATCCTTCTAACCTCAGCCTCCTGAGTAGCTGGGACTACAGCCACCACTGTGCCTGGGTATTTTTTTTCTTTAATTTTGTTTATTTTTATAGATATGGAGTTCTCACTAAGTTGCCCAGGCTGGTCTCAAACTCCGAGCTGAAGTGATCCTTCTGCCTTGGCCCTCCAAAGTGCTGGGATTACAGGCGTAAGCCACCTCGCCCAGCCGTTTCCCAGTGTAATGGTGTTTCATTTGATTTGAGCCAACATAATACTGTTCTTAAATAAAATAAAAATTAGTGGATTTAAATGCAACGATTAAGTTCGTAAGAAAGATGGGCTGTCCGTGTGGTGGAGGGGCCCACTGAGGGTAGCACTGCCCTCTCTCTATTGCTCCCCACAGGGAATCCCAGGGTCTCTCCCAGGGCTGAAGGTCTTGCTACCAGACACCTGGAGCCCCTCCGCCAGCTGCTTTGAGCTTTCACTTGGGCTGAAAGTGAGCTCGGCCTGCTCCTCTCACCTGCTGTGAATAAGAAGGGGCCACTCCTTGGGACGGAAGGGTTGTCCCATGACTTTCCTCATGCACCCCTCCAGCCTTGTGTTCCCACAATCTGTATTTAGGCCTTGAGACTCAAGCTGTCTCACGGTGTCACTTTTATTCCTGTGGCTCTGTAGTAACCTGTTTTGCGTTGCTATAAAGGAACACCTGAGGCTGAGTAATTTGTAGAGAAAAGAGGTTCATTTGGCTCACAGTTCTGCAGACTGTACAAGAAGCTTGGCACTAGCATCTGTTTCTGGCGAGGGCCTCAGGAGGCTTCCAGTCAAGGCAGAATGGCTGGACGCGGTGGCTCACATCTGTAATCCTAGTACTTTGGGAGGCCAAGGCGAGCAGATCACTTGAGGCCAGGAGTTCCAGACCAGCCTGGCCAACAGAGCGAAACCTCATCTTTACTAAAAAAATACAAAAATTGGCTGGGTGCACTGGCTCACGCCTATAATCCCAGCATTTTGGGCGGCTGAGGCGGGCGGATTACCTGAGGTCAGGAGTTCCAGACCAGCCTGACCAACATGGAGAAACGCCGTCTCTACTATAAATACAAAATTAGCCAGGCATGGTGGCACATGCCTGTAGTCCCAGCTACTCGGGAGGCTGAGGCAGGAGAATCGCTTCAACCGGGAGTCGGAGGTTGCAGTGAGCCAAGATTGGGCCATTGCACTTCAGTCTGGGCAACAAGAGTGAAACTCTGTCTCAAAAAAAAAAAAATGCTGGGCATGGTGGTGGGTGCCTGTAATCCCAGCTACTCAGGAGGCTGAGGCAGGAGAATTGCCTGAACCCAGGAGGCGGAGGTTGCGGTGAGCCGAGATCACGCCATTGCACTCCAGCCTGGGTAACAAGAGCGAAACTCCGACTCAAAAAAAAAAAAAAAAATTCCAATCAAGGCTGAAGGCAAAGGGGGAGCCAGTGCCACCTGGCAACAGAGGAAGTAAGTAGGAGGAGGCGCCAGGCTCTTTTTTTTTTTTTTTTTTTTTGAGACGGAGTCTTGCTCTGTCGCCAGGCGGGAGTGCAGTGGCGCGATCCAGCTCACTGCAACCTCCGTCTCCCAGGTTCAAGCGATTCTCCTGCATCGGCCTCCCGAGCAGCTGGGATTACAGGCACTCGCCACCAAGCTCAGCTAATTTTTGTATTTTTAGTAGAGATGGGGTTTCACCATGTTGGCCAGGCTGTTCTCAAACTCCTGGCATCGTGATCCACCCGCCTCGGCCTCCCAAAGTGCTGGGATTACAGGCATGAGCCACTGTGCCCAGCCCACCAGGATCTTTTAAGCAGTCAGCTCTCACTCATTCATTAGGGTGTGAAGAGCACTCCCAAGACCCAAATACCTCCCACCAGGCCCCACCTCCAACACTGGGGGGAGGGGTCACATTTCAACATGAGGTTTGGAAGGGACAAATATCCAAACCATATCAGGAGCCAACAGGGTTAAAGAACAAATCTTACCTGTTAACCACCTTGGGATTTCTGATGAGCTCGGCCCCATTCATAATTTAGTGAGGTGGACGGGATTGGATTGATTCTCCCCCAAATCAATACACAAATGATATTGCTTAGGGCACTTCCGAGTGCTTCAGCAAGGCCGAGGGAGCTTTTTGGTTGAAAATGGGAATTGCACTCAGCACTGGAAGTTCCTGCAGAGAGGGTTATGTAAACCAAGGGGCAACCTGCTGCTAACATTTTCATTGCAATAAAAGCCTTTTTTTTTGGAATGGTGCTTTTATGACATACTTACTATCACCGTTCCAGGCCTGTAATTTTAAAATTGCTGCTCAATATTGAAGGAGAAATGATTTTACTGCTGCTGGTCTATTAAGGTTCTAGGAACTGGCTGCAGCCTGGAGACT